ACTGTTTCTGGCAACAACACTATAATAACTAAATGTTTCAGACAAAATAATTCTTAGTTATTTAATTTTTAGTAATTTGGCCAAAAAGCAGATATCAGCCATCACTAAATACATTTCATATTATTGTGTAGACAAGATGAAATTAACAAATGTTGGTACAACACAACAAACTATTACCTTAATGATGAAAGCACCCGCTGTAGCGGTAGTCACGTAAAAACTATCACCGTCATGTGGTTGGACCCTTAAATAACAGATTTCTCCGTGTACTTGTCTCCATGGTGGTGCACGGCAACCGTTGGCGAAGACATAATCAGATGTGTACTTAATTGATTCCAAGACACAGTTCTCATCCTCTCCAGAAAAAGATTTTAAAAGAGTTACTTCACGTTCAACTTGTTCTGGACGTAAACGCACTTCTCTATTGGTAAAATAAAAATAGGATGATCAATCTCTTTGTTACAGATCTAGTGTCTAGATCATGATCTAGTGGTAATGACAGTAATATTGTAACTTCAATCAAGTAAGCCCAAATGGAAATAAAACATTTTTTCAGAAAATCTATCCAGAAGCTATGGATTGCATTATACCACTCTCCATTATCTACTCTTTCATGTAGCCTTAGATTTTGGCTGAACTGCTTTAAAGACAACACTACAATGGGGTAAAAGTACTCCACTGAGTTTATACCCTTATTTATGAATCATTTCAAGTTAATTGTAGCACAGTTATAGCATTACCATTGGTTCATGATTCAAATTATGAACAGTTTCAGTTTCTCAAGGTGTTTCATTCCCAGTATGTCATAAAATCTGACATTTTTTTTTTTATTCTAGTTTGTAGCTAGAGTTATGTTATAAAATAGTCCTCAAAATATATACAATGTATATATTTCAGTGCTCTCCCCAGGTTTTTGGTAAAGCATGGTGGTAAATTTGCATAATAATTTGCATATAATTTGCATAAGTTATTCATAGTGTTTGTACGTTTTTTTCACTGTATTATTTTTAATTTAATAATTACAATGAACAAAAAATAATTTAGAATGAATGAAAATGTGAAAACAAGAAAATCAATAAATTATAACACAAATGTTATTGGTATTATTATTATAAATTACTCACTGGGCATGTATACTATTTTTTTAACGTAAATTTCAGAGCATAAAAAAACCTTGCCCAAAGTGTGTTATCTCAACCAATGCAGTATTAACGATAACGTTATGTTTAGAGTTTCCCCAGAGGCAGAAAGGCTGCAGTCTGTGAATCAGGTAAGCCATGTAGCTAAAAAAGATAGCTCCATGGGTAGGCTAAAAAGTCACCAGCCATGATAGAAAACAAGTTGAACTTGAACAAGTTGACAAGTTTTCTTGGCCTACGTACTTTGAGTCTGCATTGATTTTTTGAGTTCAGCAATGTTTCAATCATTAGTATCTCCATCAAAGGTTTTATTCTCAACAGTTAAATTAAATTTAAATCGAACATCGGTTGTGATGTGATCAGCTTTATACGATTATATTTGTGATGTTTCACTGATCCAATGAAACCAATTACAATGGAAAATCACTTTGAACATTTTTATCGATTTTCTATTTCATTTACAATTTATTTTAGATCTTCAAACGATTTATTTTTGACATCGGCTATGGCATGATACTAATACGGGTCAGTTCTCGTGGCTATATTATCGGTAATGTGGAGTTTATTAAGAAGGTCAGTACAGTACTTACTTTGCTATTTCTTTGATGGATTGACTCATCAGCTGAGTGTCAAATTGTTGTACTATTAAAGCTACTTTAAGTTTCACTTCTTTTTCTTCCTTGGCGTCTCCTTCTTCTTTCTGTATCTGCTCCAACAGACGCACTGTGGCTGAGTCCTCACCTTCTACGCTCGCAAAGCTATCACCAAGGATATTGACAAGAGGATCACGATTGGCTAAAAAAAAATACAATAAAAATAAAAATACAATACAATAAAAAAAATATTACAATAGATTACAATAAGGAAGGGGAGTGTACAAGACAAATAAAGACAGTTTCAGCTGGGCATTTAGAGTGTTCGATATCACATACTGTATCTACAATAGTATTTATAGTATACCAATGTAGAGCCACCATGCATTTAACAGTAAATGTACCTTCTAGAACACATCTTGCTTCATGCATTTTCTTATCCGCAGCAATTTTGAGAACAGCATTAACTTGATCCAATGAAGACACTTTCAGTATTTCTCCTTCCAATACTAACAGAGGGTTATCTTCTTTATCTGTTGTACTTGATTTGATGCCATCATCACTGTCAAATGAATAAAACACAGCTTAGTATACGTTCACTGAAACATGACAAATATGCTGATAACGCTGATTGTTTTTTAAAGATTAATTATAATTACTGCACATGTAAATTACCAATTATCATAATTATCGATGGAATACTATATGTTGTATGCTACCAAAGCATTTTTTAATGATAATCCAATTTCGTCTTCAACATTAAAACTACATGTTTTCATCTATATTTTTTATTTCTTCACATTTGTATTTTTAAAAATATGTTTTAATCATGAAAATTATGTGTATATTATTCTATTGAATTTTGATTGTGTTATTTGCACTGAGTGTATGTTACTGAATAATTAAAAAATTGTGTTTCGTGTTAATATATTCGTACACATGTATGTGCATATAAATGTAATTATCTACATCTCCCGTAATATGTACCCCGAGATATATACCCTTGACTTATAGGACCAACATATAACAGACGTTCATAAGTTATATGTCACTGGGCCATTGGTCCTCATAATGACCTCATAATAGTGAGTCTAATCACTTTGGTAAAACAAATAATATAATTATAATAAAAACTTCATTCTCTGTCAATATACATGTATCTTTAAAGTATTAGCATGTGAGTATTTTTACTTTGAAGTATTACAATGGTTTTCTAAAGTTTATCTGCTATTGGGAAATTTACTAATACAAGTCATGGAATCTGTGTCTTTAGGCAGGTTGTGCCTTTTGAAAAAGGCCTGGGAGTTAAAAATTACTCTCCTGAACATGCAGTAATTTCAATGACTTGGGAAGCTGTACTATTAAAATCATCAAAATTGTGTGGATTGGGAGAATAATAATTATCTCTACTGGACCTTGACTTGGATGAGTGGAATTATAAAGTAAATCTGCCTTAGAACTGCAGGGAAATTTTCATTGATACAAAATTAACAATACTGTAATTTTACAAAATTTTGTAATATAAAGCAGTTCACAGTTTTTAAAGAATTATATGTACATACAAATAATACATTACAAATGCCAGTAGTTGTCTGGGTCATTAAATGTCAATAATAAATTACAATGTATCATGACAAATCTAGGGAATCACAATTACATGTACGCTTTGGTTAAATTTATCAACAAAATGAAAAGAAAAATAATCTTAAATTTATCTAGTTGAGGTTGAGGTAGAAGAAATGGCCTAACATTTAATTGTAGCAGAATTTTATCATTGTCAGTTTCAGTTTGTGTGAATGATAATATTTAAAACTAGACATTCCACTGTGTACAGCAGCATTTTAATACTGCATGCTGGGAAAAACAAGGTTCTGGTCATGCTTTAGTTCAAATACACCTTTTTTTTCTTAAGATGAAATCACAGAATTGTTCACTGCCAAACTTGCTTATCCCTCACTATGTATGTTCAGATCAAAATCCGTCTTCGATTATCAAGGTTAACATCTTAAACTGTATTCAAGTTGACATTAGTTTCATGTACTACCATAATATTGTCAGTCAAGCTATGCATTTTGAAAATGGCTGGGGAGTGACAAATACCTCTTCTTAGAACACTGAGGTGAGTTATGGGAGTAATTTCAAAGTGCTGGGAAATAATTTTGCATGTAAAAATTTGCATTTTGCAAAAAAAAAAAAAAAATTGAGATAAGGTTTTTTAGCTCCTCTAGGCGAGATCCCATGAACAATTTGCCTTAAAAGGAAATGTCTGTAATGTGTACACATTCACTATCAAATTGTAGCTAGTCCAAACTCATATAACCCTTCAAATTTACAATGTATGAAAATGTGACACAAATTATTTAATATTATCACTTACGTCTGTTCATATCCACCAGAGAACGAAGATGCTTCTAGACTTGTCTTCCATTGTAATGGTTTCTTGAATGGCATTTGTGCTTCCTGTGGATGTTTGCCCGGGAATGCCTCAACAAATTTGATAATA